AAGAAATCAAATGATGTATTGAAAAAGGAAAATCTGCTGTATAAGAATGGTTTAAAGTGGTCAAGAGCAAAGATTTCAGTTCGAAGTTTAAGGTGCACATGACACAGACTATGGTATTTTAAATAATTTCATATGCATGTGTCAATGAATAGGAAAGACGGTAGAAGGACTGATGCATTTGAGTTATATGGAGAAGAATATTAAAAGTACCATGGATTTCCAAAAGAGCAAACAAATCTGTATTGGAAGAAGTACAGTAAGTATGTTCCTTCGAAACCAGGGTAGTGAGACATTGTACCTCATACTTCTGATATATTATCAGATGTGACCAGTCCCTAGAGAAGTACATCATGTTAGGTAAAGTGGAGGGTCAGAGAAAAACAAGGAGTTCCACAACCAGATGGATTGGTACATTAACAACAGCAATGTGCTCAAGCTATAAACAATTGTGAGGTTAGCCCAGGGCCAGATAGTTTTTCATTCTGCTGTGCATAAGGTTATTATGAGTTGGAACTGACCTGACAGTACCTAACAACAACAACACAGACATAGACTTTATCAGATTAAATACACAGGGATCAAGCTGATTTCATTTGTAGAAAGAAAAAATGGAGAAACTCAATACCATCAACCAAAACAAAAATAGTGGCCAACTGTAGAACAGATCATCAATTGATCCTACACAAGTTCAGGGTGAAGTAGAAGAAAATTCAGTCAACACACAAGTGCCAAAACATGATCTTGAGTATATCCCATTTTAATTTAGAGACAATCTCAAGAAAAATTCTGATTCATTAGACACTAATGACTGAAGACAAAAATAAAATCACATAAATCATATAGAAGAAAGCAAAAGATCATTTTATAAAAAAGGCAAAAATTATGTCAGAAGAGATTTCTTTTTAAAGGTTTTATTGTGAATTGAGTGATAGTTTACATGGGAGAGCATTGGCTTTATATTCATCCTATTTTACTTCATTTCACTGCAATAATTATAATTCCCTTCATGCACCATCATTCAACAGCATTTGCTTCCATTCCCTGTTTTTGTTTATGTTTTGGGTTGTACACCAAAGCAATCAGGAATATATAACCATTCAAACAACCAAAGGGTACACCCTGCAATCTAAACCTGCCCCTTGCCATTGGCACACAGTCCTCTCCCTCCCTGAGTCTAGAGTCCCTAGCTGCTCCATCTCTCCACACCGTCATCAGAAGAGGTTTTGTTTTTTTTTTTTCAACTTGCTCTTCAGTGTGTTGTTGTTGTCAGATGCCACTGAGTCGGAACCGACTCATAGTGACCCCATGCACAGCAGAACGAAACAATGTCCGATCCTGGGCCAACCTCATTAGCGCTGCCACACTCGATGCCATCAATGATGCCACCTAGCCAATCCATCTCGTTGGGGGTCTTCCTCTTTTTCTCTGACCCTCCATCTTACTCAGCATGACATCCTTTTCCAGCGACTGTTCCCTCTGGACAATATGTCCAAAGTATGAGAGACGAAGCTTAGCCATCCTGACCTCCAAGGAGCACTGTGGCTACACTTCTTCCAAAACAGATCTATTGGTTCTTTTGGCAGTCGATGGCACTTTTAGTATTCTCCTCCAACACCACAATTCAAAGGCATCAATTCTTCTACGATCTTCCTTATTCACTGTGAAGAGAAGCTTAAAACTCTGGAAAAAATGAAAAAGCAAGAGAGCTAAAAATAAAATTTCAATTTCAAATTGAAGTCTAAAGTGCACCTGACCAAAGCCAAGGTATTTTAAATCACCTCATATGAATGTGAAACTTACCCAATAAAAAAGGGAAAGACTCAATGTACTGAGTTATGTTTTTTCCAAAGAATACCGAAAATACCATGGACTGCCAAAAGAACAAACAAACCAAACTTGGAAGAAGTACAGTTAGATTTTTCCTTAGAAGTCAGGATGGCAAGAACATCTTCTCTCATACTTTGGTCATATTATCACAAGGGATGAGTCCTTGGAGAACAACAACATGCTTGGAAAAGCAGAATTACTGAAAAATAAGAAGAGCTATAAACAGATTGACACCATGGCAGTAATAATCTGCTCAAGCACAACAAGGATTGTAAGGTTGGGCAGTGTTTCATTATGTCAGCATAGAGTCACTATGAGTCAGAACTGACTCAAAGGCATCTAACAATGACAACAGTTTTGCTGAACCAGGGAACCAGAATAAAGCCCCTTTGTAATAAGGCTTATTGTGGAGTGGTATGCCCTTTGAGCATTTATCAACAGTATTAAAGGAGCTCTGTAACATTATATGAACAGGGCTATAGCCAAGTAAAGGAAGGGGCTTACTACCAGAGAGATGCCTGTCTGTAGTATGGCTAAGGAGAGGTTCTCCTGACTGGAATATCTGTTACAGTAGCATTCCTAATTCTAAATTACAGCCTGTTGCCTTCCCTAATAAACCTCATAACCATGAACCTGGTATCTGAGTTCTGTATGACCGTTAAAGTTAATTATGGAGTTAATTAAGGGCAGAGTGATGGATGTTATTGTTGTTGTTGTCAGGTACCATCGAGTCAGAACCAACTCATAGTGACCCCATGCACAGCAGAACGAAACACTGTCTGATCCTGGGTCAACCTCACTATTGCTGCCACACTTGACACCATCAATGATGCCACATGGCTGATCCATCTCATTGGAGGTCTTCCTCTTTTTCTCTGACCCTCCATCTTACCCAGCATGACATCCTTCTCCAGCGATTGTTCTGTCCTGACAATATGTCCAAAGTATGAGAGACAAAAGTTAGCCATCTTGTCCTCCAAGGAGCACTCTGACTGCACTTCTTCCAACACAGATCTGTTGGTTCTATGGACAGCCCAAGGCACTTTCAATATTCTCCTCTAACACCATAATTCAAAAGCATCAGTTCTTCTACAGTCTTCTTTATTCTTTATACTTTTAGTATCAAGATTTACAATTCTACAATAATCAAAACAGTTTGGCACTCTAGGATAGCTTGGTGCTATTCATTTTTTTGCAGTTACCCTGGAGGACTGCAGCATTTTAAAATTTATCAATAAGACACCAAATGGACAATTGTTGTTGTTGTTAAGTGTCACCGAGTTGGCACCAACTCATAGCGACCCTATGCACAGCAGAACTAAACACTGCCCAGTCCTGGGCCAAGCTCACTACTGTTGCCACACTTGAGGCCATCAATGCTGCTACTTGACCAATCCATCTCTTTGGGAGTCTTCCTCCTTTTCTCTGACCCCTCCACCTTATCAAATATGATATCCTTCTCCAGCGTCTGGTCCTTCCTGACAATATGTGCAAAGTATGAGAGACGAACTTTGGCCATCTTGGTCTCCAAGGAGCACTCTGACTGCACTTCTTCCAACACAGATCTGTTGGTTCTTTGAGCAGCCCAAGGCATTTTCAATATTCTCCTCTGACACCATAATTCAAAAGCATCAATTCTTCTACAATCTTCCTTATTGTTGATACTTTTAGTATCAAGATTTACAATTCTACAATAATCAAAACAGGTTTGCAATGGCACACATTTAGAACAACTGATATTAAATATCTATAAATATCAGCTCTACAAATGCTTTTATTAAAACTCTGCAAATTCACTTCCTGTTGTAGTTATTGTTATGTGTCATCAAGTCTTTTCCAAGTCTCAGCAACCTTGTATAGGATTTCCTGGGCTATCTGGTGATTTGAACTACTGACCTTGTGATTCCAGTTCAGTGCTGATCTTACAGCACCACATCAGGCCTACTCCTTTTGTGATAATGTTAATACAATTTGTTTTTCTCCCTACATCAAACTATGAACTTCACAAAACAGTACTCATTCTACCAATTACTTGTCAAACCCAACAATCTCCAATATATATGTTGTTGCTGTTGTTAAGTGCCCTATAGTCAGTTCAGACACATAGCAACACTGTATAGGGTTTCTGAGGACCTGCTAGTGAGTTTGAATGGCCCAGCTTGTAGTTCTAACTGACTTTACAGTCTAGCATATTAACCAACAGTGCCACACCAAGACTACATACACACACACACACACACACACACAGCAGTGGTGGTGGTGGTGTGCCACTAGTATGCCATGGTAAATTCAATCCCAACACATAGTGATCTTGCATTGGGTTTCCAAGGCTATAAACCTTTATGGGAGCAGAAAGACTAATGTTTCTCCCAGGGAGGGAATGGCTGGTATTTTCAAACT